ACAATAATGTAAGATCTCGAGACAATATTTATGGATAACAGTTAAACTGATGAAGTACGTTTGTTTCCTTTTTTGCAGCTCCGAGTAGAGGAATGAAGTGGTCAATCCCAAACAAAGCCTCTGCTACTTCTTCTCCTCAGTTTCTAGCTTTCAGGCCATCCCAAGAAGACAGACACAGAAACATTGGGAACTATCATTTGCCACCACACTCTGGTTCCTTCATGCCATCATCTGTAACTGATGTATATGATTCCAACAGGAGCACTCCTTACAGTTCTGTTCAGGTATTTGCCTTATCAATACCTATGTATACCAGATTATCAGGTTGATTTGGAGATTATAGACCCAAGTGGCCTTATGGCAAGTAGTTTCTTGATCCAGTCTTGTTTTTAATAGTGATTGGTTTGGAGTCTAAACAGTTTCCTTACTATCATGTTATGGTTTTTTTGGTTTCAGGGTGTTAGGATGTTCCCTAGTTCCAATCAACATGAAGAAGCTATCTCAGTTTCAATGGCCAGGCCGGGTCTCCAGTCTCATTATGCACCAGGAGGAACAAGTTTCATCAACAATAGTGTAAACTCACAACCTTTGGTAGGAGTTCCTATCATGGCACCTCCAGTATCAGTCCTTCCTCCTCCAGGTTCCATTGTTGGGACAACTGATATTAGGTACTCACTGCTTCTGTATTGTAGTTACATAATCTCTTTTAAGGTATTTATTCCATGGCTGACTCAAACCTTCTTCTTTTGCTAGATGTTCTTCCAAGCCATCAGGAGCAGCACCTACTCAGTTGACAATCTTTTATGCCGGTTCAGTTTGTGTTTACAATGACATATCTCCTGAAAAGGTAATTCCATCATTCTTTTCCCATTCTTCACAAATTATGGTGTACTAATTTGCTTAAATAATATCATTCCTCTATATATGACAGGCCAAGGCGATAATGTTATTAGCTGGAAATGGTTCCTCTATGCCACAAGCCTTTTCACCACCTCGAAGTCATCAACAAGTGGTCCATCATGCTCGTGTTTCCGTTGATTCTTCTGCTATGCCTCCTAGCTTCATGCCTACAATCTCTTATCTTAGCCCTGAAGCTGGAAGTAGCTCAAATGGACTCGCAGCAAGAGGCTTTACATCAACATACCACAACAACCAAACTAACGCATCCAATATCAACTCTTCAGTGGCAGTTTCTTGTTCTGCCAATGTACCTCAAACAGGTTAAAAAATAAAGAATTATACCTGATGCTAACTAAAGTGGCTTAGCTTATTGCTATGTTTATGGCTGTAACTTTAATGTCGTTATGTTTCTTATGTAGTGGCTTTACCTCAGGCTCGGAAAGCATCTATAGCTAGGTTTTTAGAGAAACGCAAAGAAAGGTACACAACCATTTCTTAATTAAGAGGACCAAGTATAATGTTTCTTGACCTAACTCTCTCACTGTTGGTGTTGTAGAGTCACAAGTGTATCGCCATATTGCTTGGACAAGAAGTCATCAACAGAGTGTCGAACACCTATGTCTGAATGCATAAGTTCTTCTCTCAGCTCTGCAACCTAATCTCATTTGCAGTAGTACTTCTTCAGGCCACTCCAAACTCATCTTTGCATTTCAGTAGTGGTTATTCTGTTATTTTATTTTTGTTACAGAGTTTTCCTTCTCTTTTTCTTTGGTTACACCGAGTTTCTTCTTAGCTTATATTATACTACAGTGTATTTTGTTTTTCTCTCCCTACACTGAATTTCTTCTTAGCTTGTACTATTGTGTATACTTTGAATATCTGATATTTTAACGAATGGAACTTTTTATCAAATTCAAGATTTGTTAATCTAAAACTAAACAGAATCAAATCACAAATAATTTTTGGTTCTCTACTTAATGATTGTGCTGCAAAATCAAATCACAAATAATTCTTGAACCCAAAGTTTCTGTAGTTGGATTAAGTGACGAGTTAGAGGTGATTGGTGTAAGACTAATAATTAATTAACCAATTTTGAGTTCTCAGTATGCTGTGATAAGGTTACAATTGTTTTCAGTGTTATTATGATTTAAGATGAAAGAAGGAGAAAAAAATAGAGTTGATGAGGAAGGTAATCATAAAATGTAGGAGCAACTGAGTTCATAAGCCGAGGGAAAGCGGCAAATGAAAGCATTAGTGCTCACGTCGATATTGGCAACTAAAAGGACCGAAAGCACCACTTTTTTTACTCAAGCGCATCAGTGACGTGCTGCCTTTCCTTTCATCATCAACTAGTAACATAAAAATTCATAGACACAGAGACTTTTACATAGAATAACTAAGGATGATTAATACTTGATATGGGCGTGTATATATAGTGACATACTGAAGGCCACATCTTGCAAAACCCTAGTAATTGTTCGCTTCGAGAACCCTGATGCCTTGTTGACTAATAAGCCTTTTACCCTTATTGGGCCTGTCAGTTTGGCTGGCTAGCTAAACCCCTTTGTTTGTTCAGTTGTACTAGATTGGTAACGGTGGTTGTTTAAATTCAATGCATTTAATAATAACTAGATCATAACCCGCGCGCATGCGCGGAGTGAAATTTTCATACTAATATTTATTCATTAAATAGTTTTTAACATTTTGCAATACTATAGTATTTATCGATTATAAAATGATGAATGCAAATGTTGGTATCTTAAATCATCATAGGTCTCGACGTTTGAGACTTCGTCGGTTTTAGTTTGATTGACACGTATTTTCAGATTTTGGTATTATTATCATAAATCCTATTTGAATTTTACTAATTATCGGATTGGATTTGATTTGATCTTCTCAATTCAGTTTGGATTGGATTGTAACCAATATCTGAAATCATCCCAAAAAATATTTGTTAAACATTAAAAGTTGACAAAAAAATCAAAATATTTAAACTATTAATAAATCTAATTTAAAATTAGTTAAATTATCTAAACAAACTAAAAGATATTAAAAAAAAGAAGCAAATAAAACAAACTACAAAAATCTTTCGTATACTATAATTTGTATCTACTAACCTTAAACCTTTTCACCAAATTTTTAAATTAACATATTTATAGTATGAATATCTACTAATGATACTTCATATTCGTACGATTTATGATAATTTGTATCTTCTTTAGAAAAAAACAAAGTTAAACCATTGATCATAAAATTTTCAATGTGGGATTTTACTATTTTTAGTTATTTATGGTCGTTTAAAAAATTTAAAAATATAACCTATAAAAAAATAATTTTTTTTATTATATATTTAAATGTTATTTTTTAATTTATTTTAATAATTTAAAATTAAACAAAAAAAGAGAAAGGATACAAAAATATGTATTATTCATAATCACTAATTACATATATATGTTAATCATATTAGGTAATTCCGTATCTTTTATTTAAGGAAATAAAATATATTGTTTTATACCTAACAGAGTTGGTCCCTTAAAAATGTCTATATATTATAGTCCTAAATGTAAGAAATTAAATGTTACATTATTTCATTCTTAGCAAAGTTGGTCCATTAAAAAGATAAAGCTGAGAAGCTCTGTGAACTTGACACGTAAGCATGCTCTCAAAGGTTGTGCATTTATGAATGTTTCAGGATTAATATATAAGGGATATGCCTTTTGTAATTTTACAAGTGTGGTTAACTTAAATCCAGTTAGTCTATTCTCGTTTACTCTTTGTTACCTCGTCGAGCACGCTTAAGTTTTTACTAACATTTGATTTAGGAGGTGTTTGATTCAAAGTCTAAAGATGTTACCGTAGGCTACAAGTTTTGTTTATGGGAACCCAATGACAAATCCTTGCATGCTTATCTGACAGTAAAGGAGACACGGATCCTTTTAAAGTTGCTCATAAACAAAACGGTGTTATCTCTGATGGGGAGAGTATACCATTAGGGGATCCTGATGATCAGTTGGCAACTCAGAATGGTCATAGTCCTGGTAAAGAGAGTTCTGATGGTGAATCGGTTTTGAGGATGGAAGATCAAAAGAGACGAACAGAAGACTTGCTTTCCAGGTTTCACAAGTCTCATTTCTTTGTTAGGATTGCAGACTCTGGTGAGCCTCTTTGGTCAAAGAAAAGCTCTCTGGTCTCAGATACTGAGGAGGAAGATGAAAAGAGGGGAGAAGAGACCTTGTGTTAGTGCTTTTGTAGATAGAGGAGAGTTTGATCCTCATGTTGCTGGAGGTGTAGCTAGAAGTAGAGCAAAATGCTCCGCCTTACCCAGTGGAGACATAGTGGTACGTGATGGCTATTTTGTTACTTATAAGTTGTTAATTAAGTTACTGATTCTCACACAACAGAAACGGTAAGAAGTCTGGGACTGAAGAGCTCTTATCTCTCCGGGGTGTTCCCTTGGAGCGTGATAGGTTCTCTGTTCGTTGTGGACTTGAAGGCATCTGCGTTCCTGGTAGGAGGTGGAGGAGGGAAACTCGAAATCGTTCAGCCTATTGAGATCAGTTCTTTTGCATCTGACTGCAATACAGCCTTAGTATTACTATTAGGTAATATTGGGTACTAATGATCAAAAGGTTGTAGAGTTTTTCTTAGAGTAACTCTCCTTAACGAGCATAGTGAGCGGAAGAGTGAAACCAAAGCTAAAAATAGTGCGCTTACCTAACGTTAGGTTTTCTTCCAACGTTTTAGGAAAGGTGAGGAGCATTCATTCATCGTGAGACCTTCTTTTTTCTGTTGGGAGTAATGTGAAGCCCTCTGCTGGTAGAAAAGAACTCAAATCATCGAGTTTGTCTCTTACATCTGTAAATTTTGAAAGATTAGGGAGCGGTTTAAGTGGTGATCAGTATGCGGTTATGGTGTCATGTCGATGCAACTACACATGTAGATCTCCGTTGCTGTGGTTTGTAGCCAGTTTTTTTTTCTTTTCTTCTACATGAATAAGAAACTACTCGTCACAAAGCACCTAACTACAGTGTAGTACTAATCTTCATATTAAATCAATTACTGACCATGTGCAAAGATTACCCAACTTAAAACTCCAATGTATTATTTTGTTTTCATATCTCATAGTTATTCTCTTCTGCTTTCAGATTTTAACTCTTCAGGTATCAAACTTGACATCTGAAGATCTGTCTTTAACGGTTCTCGCTCCAGCATCATTCACATCACCTCCCTCTGTCTCTGTGGTGTCCCTAAATTCCACGCCAACATCTCCTGTAAGCCCCTTCCTAGGGTTCTCTGAGTTCACATTTTTGTCCATTGCATCAAACCATTCTCAGGAACCAAAGTAAGAGTAGAACCAAAGCAAAGATAAAAACATGTACTCAGGAAGCAAGACCAAAGCAAAATAAAAAGAAGAAGAAATTTGGCGTTAAACCAACAGGAGGATCACAATTAGTGTTACAAGTTCGTTAAATTAACATAGACGTCGCATCTAGCATTACAATAACAAGAAGTTGGTAAAAGCCAATGTTTAGAAACCTGAGTAACAAGGAGGAGACTAGAGTTGACTTTTCATTCGTTGACAAGATGCACTCTCACGCCTACAACCACACGTCCTGAGAGTTCAAGTTCACAAACCACATTGTCTCCTGTTTTCAAGTTGCACCTTTGACACACAGCCGCCCAGCCAAGGAAACTATGTGAACGACCGTAATCCTTGGTGTAGCCATCGAGCCTTTCTCCATCGGGAAGAAGGAAGTAGATGTGGGTATTAGGAGGACTAAACTCCAAGCCATACTCCTCAATCACCCAAGTATTCACATACTACTTGTACATACATTAAACACACACACATCCAAAAAAAAAGAACAAGACTTAAATTTAGAAGCAAATAGACATAACATAAGCCAAGTCTGCAAAGAAACTAAAAAATGCTACAACTATTACCAGAACTGTGTTCGTCTTCGTTAACGTCTTCTCGAAGTAAGGGTTTCTTGGATTTAAAAGGTATCGCTTAGGGTTTTTGACATGAGCATAACCCTTACTTGCTCCTCCACTTGCTGAAAAACAAAAAAAGAGTAAATTCTTTGGCGTAGAGAATATAATAGGTCTGAGTTTGACTTTGACTTTGACTTCTTTCAAAAGTTTTTACCAGAGGCAGAGACAGGGTATGTCTCCTGGTGGGAGTTATGTGGCATAAAATGGAATGGTTCAGTCTCAGGTTCAACTTTAAGAGGTACAGACATGATCTCTTTCCCATCTTTCTTGAAGATTCTCACTTCAAAATACATTGTGTCTTGTTGTGTGAAGAGCAAGATATCATCTGTACCTAAAAGGTTGTCATCAACAAACTCATCCCAATCTTCTTCGACCATAAACAGACCATTTTTCTCTTGCTGGAGCCAGAGTTGCCAAGAATTGTTCCAGCGAACACTAAGCACTATCCTGTGTTCAAAAGCCTCACCAGCGCTTCTCATAAACTCTTCCGGCATAATCCTCTTTAAGAAAGCCAAAAAATCATCGATAAAAACAAATCAACACTAGCAGAAACATGAGTTAAGAGCTAACGAAACGATCAGCTAGCTTGTGGAGTGATCACTTGTTACATTTTCAGACACAACATCGAGAGAAAAGAGAAGAAACAACTCTAGAAAGAGGATGTGTTACAGGCTTAAAGCTAAACTAGATAGTCTTGTAAACAAAGCAATTGCGAGTAGAACAGAGGAGAGATAAGTATTGAGAGTTACCGTGGATTTAGATTTCCAGTTTTGTCCTAGAGAAAGAGACTTAATGAAGCTAGGGTTGCTCTTATTTTCTCGAGTCTCTCTCTCGGGCAACATTGTCTCTTGAAAGCTAGTTCGGTTCTGCAATTAGGGTTTGTGAGAGTAAATTAAATCTGATAATAAAGATCAAAGCCACAGTAAACAGTTGAACACTTATTTTCGACTCTTTCTCACCTCGCAGTCCGATAGACAAAGCAGAGGACTCTACAGGACTTTATGGATGTGTGACAGTTAGCGTGCGTACTAACCTTTCAAGTCATAGGGTCTCGTAGTCTCGTGGAATGGATATTGCATAGAGATTTTGAAATATCTGTACTAGAGAATCCAGAAATTTGAAATTAATCATATAAAAGTTTCAATTCAACTTCAAAGTTCAAACAGATTCACCAGGATATTCGAGTTAATTGAATTATCCATAAAACTATAAAATTTACACAAATATTCAATTTAGGGTTGGGTAAAATATGGGATCTCCAAAGAACAGAACCCAACCCAAAAATTAATACTTAATTCAAACCCAATCTGGTAAAACAAATTGAATGGATACAAAAATTTAAAATCGTAAAACTAGAATGAACCCAAATCATTCAAAAATACTAGTTGCATACTCCCCGCGCAAGCGCGGGGATGGGATCATTGTGTTTGCAATATTTTTTCGATTGTTGGTTTAGTGGATTCTTCTAATAACACCAAATAATAATGAAATTGAAAGAATGTAGTAAGAATGTAAAGTGAAAATATTGTATATATAATGTGTTAAATGTTATTTATATGTGAAGTAAGGTTTATAGAAATAGTTAGGCTATAATATAGTTTTTAGTGTGTAAAAGTAGGTGTCTATTTTTTATTTTTTTTGCTGTAAATAGTTTTTATATCGTAGGTCAAACTTGATATAATTCTATATTTATAGTATTTATATTTGTATTAAACGATTTATCAATTTGAAAATAACCTTAATTAAGTTAATATTCGTTGTTTAAGTTTTCATTAGATAGGTTTTTATATATGGTTTTTTGTAATTTTGGGTTTTATTCATAAATGATGTGGCATTTTTATCTACGGCGTCATCGACTATGGGAATCCATTCGCCAGAGTCATGAGTTAATGGTGAGGAATGTTTTCAATGAAATTATAGTAGTTATTAAAATGTAAGAGAAATTACATATTCATTTAATAAATAACAAAAAATACTTAATATTTGTTTTTATTTTATTTTATTTCACATACAATTTTTTTAAAAATATATTAGGAATGTGTTAAATGTTATTTATATACGAAATAAGGTTTATAGTAATAGTTAAACTACAATATAGTTTTTAGTGTGTAAACGTAGGTGTTTTCTTTTTTCTGTAAATATTTTTTTATATTGTAGGTCAAAACTTGATATAATTCTATATTTATAGTATTTATATTTGTATTAAACGATTTATCAATTTGAAAATAACCTTAATTAAGTTAATATTCGTTGTTTAAGTTTCATTAGATAGATTTTTATATACAGTTTTTTGTAAGTTTGAGTTTTGTTCATAAATGATGTGGCATTTTTATCTACGGCGTCATCGACTGTGGGAATCCATTCGCCAGGGTCT